TTGAATTTATCTATTGGTCATCTGGTTTAGTTTTTTCTTAAAAATCCACTTACAATCTAGTGCCATAGTTCTAGGTGGGAGATTTACAAGTTCCCATGTGTGATTAATGACTAAGGAGTTTATTTCACTTTTTATAACTTCTTTCCAAAATATTGCATCAGGTGAAGTTACAACTTCTTGATAGGTTATTGGGTCCTTGTCCACCATAAATGTGAACATTCCGTCACCCAAATTTGTTTCTCTTATCTGTCTTTTACTTCTCCTTAAATGAAGTACTGATTCCTTGAGCATTCACTTGTTCTTAATTTCCAACTTGGTTTTGGAAAGGTTCCCTATTTAATGTTTCTTTTCTCCATGGGAAGATGTGCTCAAAGAATTCTACATCTCGGGACTCTATTATTGTGTTATTTTCGACAACATTTTCAGTTGTTTTAATTACAAGGAACCGATAAGCCGCACTATTTTGTGCATAGCCAATGAACACATAGTCATAGGTTTTCGGTCCTAATTTCTTTCTTTTAGATTCAGGTATTCCAACCTTTGCTAGGCAGCCCCAAACTTTTAGATAGTTCAGACTAGGTTTTCTGTTGTACCAAAGTTCAAAGAGAATCTATTATTTCTTCTTAGGTGGTATTCTATTATATAAGTGACAAGACATTAGGATTGCTTCTCCCCACAAATTCAGAGGTGCACATAAACTAATTAGCATTGCATTCATCATTTCTTTTAGTGTTCTGTTAAGTCTTTCTGCAACTCCATTAGATTCAGGTTGATAGGGAGTTGTGGTTTCATGTATGATTTCATTTTCTTCAAAGAATTTTCTAATGGTTTATCCATCATACTCAGTTCTTCTATCTGTTCTAAGTCTTTTTATTTTCTTTCCTAACTGATTTTCTACTTCAGTTTTATAGTTTATAAAATCTTTATCAGTCTCATCTTTTGATCTAAGTAGAACTACTTTTGCATATCTAGAGAAATCATCTGTAAAGGTTATATAGTATCTTTTTCCTCCTCTATCTTCATGACATTTAAGGTCTCCTAGATCACTATGAATAAGTTGTAATAATTCAGTTTGTCTTTGTACACTTTTATGAGGTTTCTTAGTAAATTTTGCTTCTATACATACTTGGCATTTTTCATTTGTAAAATTAATAGGAACATTCAAAACTCCTAATTTACATGATCGCTTTAAATAAGTAGCACTATGATGTCCTAGTCTAGCATGCCAAATATCAAAAGATTCAACAATATAAGCAGAAGAAGAAGCAGTTTTATTCATAATAATATTAGAGATGTTCAGTACAAATAATCCACCAACATTGTACCCTTTTCCAATAAATACATTATTTTTAGTCAACACGGCCTTGTCTGCTTCAAATGTGAGTTTCGGTCCTACTTTGTTGAGGAGTGCTCCCGATACCAAGTTCTATCGGATCTCCGGCACATGTAGTACATCATTCAACATTAGGATTTTTCCTGAAGTCAGTTTCAGGAGCACTTTTCTTTGCCAATAACTTTCGAAGTTTGTGAGTTTCCCATGAAGATTTGCTCTCCTTCAGATAGAGTTGTATACTCATAGAAGGAATTGCGATCCCCACATATGTGCTTGGTAGTACCGGTATCCAGTACCCACTCCTTTGGCTTATCAACTAAGTTTACCTCAATTACCACTACTGCGATAACATCCTCAGTCAGATTGACTTTCATTTTCCCAGAGTCCTTTCAATACTGGCAGTCCTTCTTGTAATGTCCGGGTTTGCCACATACATAGCAGTTTCCTTTCTTTTTTTGTTTCTTGAATTTCTGATCATTTTTCACATTCAAGCTCTTTTTGAATTTTGTAGTTTTTTCCTCCACTATAATGGTTTTGGGAAACTGGTCCTCATCTCTTTCTGCTCTTTTTTTCAATCTTAATTCGGACCACTACTTGGTCCAAAGTAGTGTCATTCCTCTTGTGCTTCATACTGGTCCTGAAATCATTTCATGTATGTGGCAGTTTCTCTATGAGAGAACTAGCAATGAATTCATCTGACAGTACCATGTCTTCCTTTGCTAGTTCCCCCACAAGAACCTGGAACTCATCTATTTGAGCAGACATGTCCATGTCTTCTTTCATGGTGAAGTGCAGGAAGTTGACAATTACATATTTCTTATTTCCAGGATTTTTAAGAGCATACTTAGTGTCCATTGCATTCCAGATTTCATAGGCATAACTATAGGAAGAATAAACATTGTACAGTTCATAAGACAAGCAGTTTAGGATATGGTTGGTGTAGAAGTGGTCGGGTGTAGTCCATTGTTCTGCAACAACAGAATGGGTTGGTTCCTCCATGTTTAATGGGTTCAGTTTAGTCAAAGTGAAAGTTATCCCTACCTATTCTAAGGCAAACAACAAGCGTTGTCTCCAACGCATGTAGTTGGTTCTGAAGGGTTCAATCTTAGAGAAAGCGGGAACTGTTGACAGTATCTGGTTCTTCATGAAGGGGTTAGCAGAGATAGGTTCCATAAATACGGTTTTAAGAATGTTGTAATAACAATAAAGAGAGCAGATGGAACTTATCGGTAATCGCTTTCCAAACCAACGTTGCAGTGATGTGAAGTTGTTGTAAGAACTCGAAACTCGGAATTGCAGGAAGATGGAGGGCTGAGTCGTGCCACTTGGTCACTCTCCTTAAAACCATATTTGCTCCCTATGGTGCAGTTGGGTGATCGCAAACCGGTCGCCAAGATAAAACATCCCATAGGCCACTGGTAGGCGTGCACTCGCTTACCAGACCTCCGCGAACCACTGAAGATTAATGCTCAGATTTCTCAGAGAAAACAAGAATGCCGAAAAATGGTATGTGCAAACTAGGTCGACCATCACCCTTTTATAGATTGGTCTCAGACCCAAATGGACATAGATGTGTCCTTTCAGACAAGAGCCTCTTCAGAACAATGCACCTATTCGAAGAGGCACAAGGAGGAAGAAGAGACACGAAAAAAGAAAACAATTTATTTAAAAATTTAATTTAATTTTGAAGAGACACGTTTTAAAATTGAAAAGGTGTAATTCAGATAAAACAAAATGATTTAGTGCACCTACACCCGCCCCCCGACCCAACCCGGCTCGGCGTGCGCATGTGGAAAGCACCTGCACCCCCCCCCCCTCACATGCATGGAATATCTATAGTGTTTTCCTCCTATAGGTCCCTACC